CATGGAGAAGGGGCACGGGGCAGGTCCACCAGCTGAGGACGTTGCTCTGGGCCCCGGGGAGGCCACCCAGGCAACCACAAGGATGGATCGAGCATCTCCAGGGTCTGGCTGATCCCTCCTCTGCCAGGGCAGTCTCTCAGAGCATGTCTGGGGAAGGCTCAAGGGCTTCAGCAGCCTGAAGATGCCATGATCTGAGGGACTTTGGGAAGACAAGAGAGCCTTTTCCTTCTAAGGCACTTTTCATCAAGACTTTTTGATGGCTGAAGAAGGGTAGGTTGATGGCACAGCCTGCTCCCGGGTAGGCAGGTGTCCTCACTCCTGCTAGCAGTACCGTAGTTGGCTCTTACTGTCCCCTTGCCCTCATCCCACACAGATGGCATGGTTCCTGGGGTGGCCCCTGGAACTGGTGGGGTCCCCATGTGCCAGCATCAAGCACACGGAGAAGCTGCCATGCCCCTTCCCACCCTGCTTGCCACCTGCCTGCCACCACTCAGCCTCCTGAGGGAAGGACAGGTCCCTTTGGTCACGGGGCAGCTGAATTCTCGAGGGCGAGCATCCCCATCCACTGCGGTACTGCACTCCACACACCCCCCACCCCGAGTAGGTCTTTGCATCTCCACGTACGTTTGTGACAAGCGTCTATGTCTCCTGCCCACTCTTGTAGCCATAGCTGGGTAGATACTGAATTGCTTGTGTTGTGGATGAGGGCTCTACATAATGTAAGCCTGCAGGATTGTCACTCTCCCCCACGTCCAATGGTGGCTCCTGCTGGAGGACATGATCTCATGGCTTCGGGGGTGAAGAGAACAAAGGAACCACAGCGATTTCTGATGGGTTTATACATTATAAAGCATTTATAAGAACACCTGCTTCTCCCCTTGGCAGCCCATCACCGCCGTGGCCCTGGGAGCTGCAGGATGTTTACCAGCTATAAATGTCCCAACCCACCACTCCCCCTCCCTCCCTCCATTCTGGTCTGGAGAGGAAAACTCTGGCAGTGACATCTGAATCCCTCTCCTTTTCTTCTCCCTCCATGAGCTCCCCCTCCTCTCCTCCATGGTTCTGGGTGAGCAAAGCGATGCCCACAGAGCAGTCACATGGCTGAGAGCGGCTGGTGACTGGGTCCAGCACTGCTGGTAGAAGTGGTGCTGGGACACGCCATGCCATTCGGGTGCTCTGCCTTTTTTGCCTCCTCGCTGTGTTTTGGTTTTCCCATGGCAGCCCTGGGTTGCAGGAGGTCCCTGAGCTGGTCCAGTGGTGCCACCACTATCTGCTGGCCATCGGTGCCACATCAAAGTCACCAATAAGTCAGTGTCCACGAGTAAATCCATGTCTACATGTGCGGTCAGGTCTTGTCCACTGCCCCCTTGGAGCCTGCACATCTCTAGCAAGAGATCATCTTGGCTCGTCCATAGCTCTCCGTGTGGAAAGCTAATACGTCAATCCAAATGCAGCCTAAATAAAAAGCCCAATATAAAACCGTAAATCTCCAAAGAGTTCAAATTAAATTAGCTGAAATAACCAGAACCATAACTAAAGACCCTGCTTGCTTTTGCCTCCTGTAGCAGCCTCCGAGGAAGCCTTGCGCAGAGGAGCAGCGCTCGCTTGTGGCTTTGCAGAGCTGCCGAGAGGCGGTGATGCCTATGCCTGCGAGCTTGCAGCAGCAGGAAAGGTTGGTGGAAAGGTTGAGTGGTCACTGCGCAGCCCTCGTCATCTCGCCTGGTGAGCAAAGGCTGGAGTTTCTCCACCCAGAGGTACCCAGCAGAGCTGCCTCTTCCTTTACCGAGCAGCATCTCCTTATGGTTGTTGGCACCGGTGTCTGCAAGAAAGGGGGAGGCCTACGTACTGCAAGATAACCTGGTGTGAGGCCGGTCAGGACAGAGGTCTGGTATCCCACCACAGAAGTGCCGCAGAGTGAAGCTATCACCTTTTCAACACACCTTCCACTTGCTTTGCTAACAGGCAGCCAGAGCCTGAGATTTATGGTTTGCAAGAAATGTTTTAGTTTGTAGGCTTGCCCCCAGCAATGAGTCCTCTGCGTGCAAGTGGCAGGGACTGAGCTGAATCAGGGACAGAGGTTTGGTTACAACTGGGGACCGTGTAGACGGCCTTGATTTGTCCGAGTGGGTGTCCTGCTGGGTTGCAGAAGACTCTGTGCTGCAGCTCAGGCTCTTAATCGGTGGATTTGTTGATGGAGGTGATGTACTAAAGTTAGCCTGTCTGGATGGGAAGTATTGTGGCCTTGCAGGTAGGTTCCCTTGGAGGCACCTGCCTTTGGCTGGTTGGGACCAAGCCTCAAGGTCCCTCCCTGATTCCTGGCCAAGGAGGACCACGCGCCAGCCCACTGTCACCCACCTTCCTGCTCTCTGCGGGTTCTTTTTCCAGCAGAGGTTTCACCACGTGCCCCTCTCTCCCAAAACCTCCAGCAGGGAGGGCAGAGGCTCCCAACTCGCAGGACGAGTCCCTCGCTGGAGAAAAACCCCATCCTGGAGGGCACAACATGGTCTGCTCATCGTGCCTTTCAACCGAGGCGTGGGGTGGCAGAGGGCTGCCGCAGGGTCCCCGCACCCGAGGCTTCATTCATCCCTGTGCATCTCCCCCGCTGCTTTTCTTACTTTCTTCCTCTCTTCTCTCTTTTTCCCTCTCTCCGATGGTGCTGTTTGGTGGCTGCCGGGCTGGATCACCGACAGGAATGCTTTGGGGTAACTACGCTGCTCGGGTCACCGTGGGGTGCTGCCCTGGGGCGCGCAGGGGGACAGGCGCAGGCGGGTGTCTGTCTGTCTGGGGCCTGTGCTGACCCTTAGCTGCACTGGCAGAGACCGGAGTACGCTGCTCTGCATGCCCCCCTGCACTGCGCGGGGTGCATTCACAGCGGTGTGCTCCAGGAAAGGGCGGGAGGGATTTTCTTTGCAAGCCATGCAATTCGTTGCCTTCGGAGGAGAGTGCTTTCATCCTGGTTCTCAGCATCTGCACAGCACCCCGAGATGGTGTGAAGCATGCCCGGGCAAGTGGGGCACGGGGAAAGCCATGTCTGCTGCAGAGCTGAAGGCTCTGCCCCCGCGGGGGCTTTGCCTGCAGTGAAGCGCTGCAAGGACTTCAGCCCTGATGTCCTCCAAGGGCATGGATGCGGTTGATGCCAAGCTCAGGGGGCTGGGGAGAGCTCAGCCTTGGCTGTAGACACAGCCAGGCCAGGCTTTCCTCCAGGCTTTCTCCAGCCCTATGTCCATATCCATGCTGGACCCAAGCAAATCCACAGGAGCTTTCCTAAGTCAGAAGATGTTCCTCCTCAGCAGACGTAAATCACTGCGGTTGAGTTGCCCTTGGTGGCAGCTTGCACCAGCTGAGCCTTACCCTCAGATCCTCACCTCAGCCCCCAGCCAGATGGCCCAGACACTTGCCCAGACCCTGGCACTGAGCAAAGCAGGAGATGGGAGGTGCACGGTGGGTCCCAGGGCTGTTTGTACAGTTGCTCCCTGTGCGTTTGTGGGGCTGTGCTCCTAGGGAGGACTATTAATTAGTGGCTTTGATTACATCTCTTAATGATTAAGCCCATTGTTGTGCTCCTTGTTACATTAACCCTTGCAAAGGAGCTGCGTAATTTGGAGCATCTGTTGTTGTAAGTAATTTCCGTGATGTTTTTCGAAGGTGCCCGGTGGATACAAACTGTGCCACCTTCACCGGGACCCCTGTGCTCCATCCAGCGATCCAGCCCATGGCCTATAGTTAAAAGACAAGAAAAATAACTGGTATTGTGGTTGGATTAATCATCGTATTCAAAAAATGAGGGTCACGAGGGGGCTTTTTGAAATAATTCTACTGCTAAGCTCTACCTCCCTCGGCTGACTAGGGGTGGAGGCAAGCGCAGCTCTGATCTGGAGAGCGAAGCGAGGGCTGAGACGTTACATGCATCTGAGGTAGAGGACCAGGCTGACCGTGTTGGGTAGCACTGATGGAATAAGGCAGAAAGCCATAAGAGGCAGCGTTTGCGTGAACAAACCAAGCACAGAGCAGGTGCTTCCCCAGGTGAATGTAAGCACCATAAATCCTGAGTTTCAACCAGGATGGAAAACCCTTGGTGAGAGACCTGCATGTAGCCCCCATTGACTGCACCTCCTTTTTTTTCCTATGAATTTCTTGCAACCGGTAGTAGTGGTAGAAGACAATTTGAAATGGTGGGGGCCTTTTGCAAGCCCCATCTGCAAATGGCACACGCCTGCAGTAGGGAAACAAAACTCCTGGCCATTGCTTGGGGAGAGCCTTGGGTTCCCTGCCCCAGGCCCGGCATCGCTCCCCTTCCCATAAGGAGGGGATTCGTCCAGGTTGCTTCTCCCCAGTGAAGCAGAAAGGTGCTAATCCTGAGGAGGAGAGTATTGCTTTATTTCTCCTCTCTGCCAGCTGTCAGCATGTGTGTTGGAGGAGACTCACTGAGGCGGGCTGAGTGCTCAGCAGTCACACATTTGCGAGCGCTGGCCCCCACGATAGCGTGTGGGCCTCCCGTTCCCACCCTCATGCGGGCTGGAGGGGGGGTTGTCAGCTGTTGAAAACCCTCTGAGCATCCAGCCCTGGGTCTGCAAGGTTATCATCTCTCTCTTTCATTTCTGGGTCCACGTGCCTCCCTCCGATGTGGTAGGACCAACAAGGGCCGGGATATCAAGACCATCAAGTCTCTCCGTGTTCTACGGGTTTTGAGGCCCCTGAAAACCATCAAGCGACTGCCCAAGCTGAAGGTAATGATTCCCATCTCCTGCCTTACGTCTGTCTTCTCCAGCATAGTCCAGTGGGTGCAAGGACCACGTGCATTGATTTGCTTCTGAGTGATGAACAAACAGCTTTCAAAGCATTTGATTTGTTTTAGGAGCCCGGTTTTCAAACACAGAGCCCTTCAGGCTGCTTCACATCTGGAGGTGCAAGGAGTTATTAAAAGCAAGCCTGGATCTCCACAAAGTGTCAGAGCTAGGTGCCAGGGAAAGTGGGGCTGGAGTGGACATGACGTAGCAAAGCCCAGATGCTCTCCTGATAAAACAGGCTGCCCCAGCTTTGGGAGAGCTCAGATCTCTTCCCAGGTTCATCATCTTTCCCACTCAAGCAGCTTGCAAACAGCTCGGGATTTTATGTGCTGTGCTGCCATGCTATTGCACCGGAAGGGGAATTCCTATCTCAATAGAGGGATTATTTGTGCAGCACAGGTAGGATTATGGATTTCCCTACCTTAGCTGATGGAGTACAGAAATGAGTAAGAGACCAAGGAAGCCCTGTTCTTTTCTTACAAGGGGTTATTTGGCTGGTGGCTGAGGCATCAGGGTGGCACCCCAGAAACATGGGTTTTGATCACAGCTTTTCATCCTGATCAGTGGATGGATTCAGCCTGTGTTAGTTCATTTCTGGACACCTCTGTCTTCACCATGAAGCCAGAATAAGGACATTCCGGTCATTCTTAAAGTGCTCTTATTCGGGGTGATGCAAAACAAAGAAGTGTTTACTAATTGTCTTGAGTGCTGCTAATTGCATCCTTGGGGCGGTCCCCTGTCTGCTGCCCTGGTTGCAGAGAACGTTGGAGGACAGAAATATCCCTCCCTGCTGTTGTCTCAGGGGCTTCTTGGTGTCTATGTGTGTGTTGGGGGTACCCATGGTGTTAAACTTGCTCATAAATTAGCCCTTTGCCTGGGAGAAGGACCAGCTCTTTCCTCCTTTCCCCCCAGGAGTGGGAAATGTCTTTCCCCATGGTAGTCTTGAGGAAGGTTTCGGTCTTGCCCTTTGCCAAGGCTGTGGGTTCCCCAAGGTGAGCTATGCCCTCTCCTGCAGGCCGTCTTCGACTGTGTCGTGACTTCCCTCAAGAACGTCTTCAACATCCTCATCGTCTACAAGCTCTTCATGTTCATCTTTGCTGTCATTGCCGTCCAGCTCTTCAAGGGGAAGTTCTTCTACTGCACTGACAGCTCTAAGGACACGGAGAAGGATTGCATGTAGGTGCCCTGTTCAGTAGGCCCGATGCTGCTGAAGGCAGGGTGCTGGGTAATGTCGTCTTTGGGTTCCCAGTTAAGTCCCTGGTCATGACTTGCTCTTGGTGTGGATGACTTGGGCTGAGCCCCATCCCCATTGCTGCGTCAGCGCTGTGCATCCTTGCATGGGGTGCAGAATGCAGAGCCACATATTTTGCTCCTGTTCTTTCCTCCCTCCCTCTTCCCTTTTTCTCTCCGCTTCTCTGCTTCCCCCCGGTTGTTATCCAGCCTCTTCCCATTTCTCCCTCCAGCCCTGCAGGAGGAGAGCTGTGCCCCCCACCGCACACACACGCTGCCCCTGGGGTTTAAAGCCACTGTCTCATAGTCTGGCAGTGTAAAAATCAGAGTCACCACTCTCTCCCAACCTTGCAGAGGCAACTATGTGGACCATGAGAAGAACAAGATGGAGGTGAAGTGCCGGGAGTGGAAACGCCACGAGTTTCACTACGACAATATCATCTGGGCTTTGCTCACCCTGTTCACAGTCTCCACTGGCGAGGGTTGGCCCCAGTGAGTATTCTGCTCCGTCCTCCCACCTTAAATGGTGATGGACATGTCTCCAATGGGGTGGCTGGGTTAGTAACTGGCTACACCCAGGTGGTACTGAGAGAAACTGCTGGGCAGGGAGGAGGAGAGGAAGGAAATTATGTCAGGACAAAACGGCTTTACCTCCCGTATAAGGTTTGGACGGTGGCTGGAGTTAACTTCTTTCTTAGGGAGCAAATAATGGATAATCCCTTCTCCTTTGTGGCCCTGAGGTATATTTTAGCTCGGTGTTGGAGAAGACTGTAGGACTAGCCCTTTCTTCATGCTCATGTGAGCTCAGGCAATTTTCTCCTCTGTATGTGGAGCACTGGAAAATCCATTTTCCATCAGGGGCAATGGCAAAGCACCGTAAAACAGGGTGTAGCCACTTAAAAGTGTCGTCCTTCTAAGGCAGGTTAAGACAGAGGTTTATCTTTATCGTTGTTGCAAGTGTGGACAGATAGAGCTGGCTGTACAAGACGGGTCCCGTGAGAAGTGCCGCATGGTGGCAGTCCTGATGGGCATATCTCTGGTTGCTTTTCTCCACCTGTCTGTCCACAGGGTGCTGCAGCACTCGGTGGACGTGACGGAGGAAGACCGTGGGCCCAGCCGCAGCAATCGCATGGAGATGTCCATTTTTTATGTGGTCTATTTTGTGGTCTTCCCTTTCTTCTTCGTCAACATTTTCGTGGCTCTCATCATCATCACGTTCCAAGAGCAAGGAGACAAAATGATGGAGGAGTGCAGTCTGGAGAAGAACGAGGTATGGTCTGGGGAGAGGGAAAGGAGGACGTTTCCATGGGTTTTCTGCAGCCTGGGAGCTTGGCGCTCCCTAGAAGTTGAAAAGGTGCAAGAAACCTGTGAGCCACCTGCCTGCCCAGCCCACGAAGGAAAGAAGTGTGGCAGCCACTGTCCCCCGTGTTACCATCAGTGAGGGTCTGATGCACATTGTTTTATTCCAGAGGGCCTGTATTGACTTTGCCATCAGCGCCAAGCCCCTCACACGGTACATGCCCCAGAACCGGCACACCTTCCAGTACCGGGTCTGGCACTTTGTGGTCTCCCCATCCTTTGAGTACACCATCATGGCCATGATAGCATTGAACACCGTGGTGCTGATGATGAAGGTGAGCCGGTCAGGGTGAGTCTGTCCTGTTTGGGGTGGTGGGGAGAAGGGTGATCGGTCAGGACAGGACCAGAGGGTATTTTGATTGTTTCTGGGAGATGATTTGAGACACAGTCTGAGCACAGTATTTCCTCGGCACAGTCACCTGAGACACCACATGCCCCAAACTGGAGGCAAGATCTTCCCTAAACCAGATGACCCAAATGATCTGCACTTCTCAACTACTGGAGAAAGATCTGGATTTACTCTGTGCTTCCTTCTTAGCAGCAGTGGCAGCTGTCCTGGGAGAAGGGTGGAGAGGGGAAGGAGCAGACAGTCTTGAGGCACCCAGGGCAAGGAGTATGGGCCACTGCAGATCTTCCCTGGGACAGGCATCAGCCAAGAGGCTGGCAAGTCCCCTCCTGGCTAGCGATGTCTCTCTCTTTCCATCAGTACTACTCTGCTCCGTACACCTATGAGCTGGCCCTGAAGTACCTGAATATCGCGTTCACCATGGTGTTCTCCTTGGAGTGCATCCTCAAGATCATCGCTTTCGGCTTCCTGGTGAGTGGCTGCTCTTGTTCTTGATGAAGGTGTTAATTTGGAGGTTGGCAGCATGCAGATCACGGACAGAAGGTGTTAATAATGTGAGGTTTTTGCTATTTATTTTGGGTTCCAGCCTTAGAGCTGCTTTTAGGTTGGAATCGCTCCTTTGGTTCTCATGAAACTTCCCACTCCTGAATGCTGGTGGGGAAGCCGCACCAGTCACTTTACCTTTTGCCTCATTTCTGTGGTACTTTGATGCCTGGACAATGTATGTGCTGTGCAGCTGCTCTGCTAAAGCCAACTGCTGCTGCAATCCCTTGCCCCCGTAAGCCACGAGATGCCACTGCATTACTGTCCTTGAGCTGTGTCAGTTGGACCAGACCTGACCAGCAGTGAGACCTCCCTGCCTAATTCCCCATCCTCAGGTCCCCAGCTGCTCATTTAAGATTTGAATCATAGAATCATAGGCTGTTTTGGGTTGGAAGGGACCTCTAAAGATCCTCTAGTCTAACCTCCCTGCAATAAGCAGGGGCATCTTCAGCTGGATCAGGTTGCTCAAAGCCCTCTCCAACCTTCAGTGTTTCACAAGACGAGGCATTTGAAACCATGGACTGCCTTTTCTTCAGCTATTTGTTGCAGCTTATGAGCAACTGTTGGATTTGCTCTTTCATAGCTTCTTTCCTGTTTCTAACCCCCACTGGGAGATGAGATCCACTAGCGGGAGGGTTTCTAGGCACCCTCCCAGCTCCCAGCATCTCCATCTGTGGTCAAATACAGTTTTACACCAGCTGCCGCACAAACATCAGAGGCTGAGGTATGTCCACGTGCCCACAAAGAGAAGGATAAAGCAGGCTCATGGCTGTGAGGGCTGGCATGATGAGCCATTGCAGCCTGACCAGGGCTGGCTGTGGCTGCCTTTCCCACTCCCATTCACCAAAGTGGCCTGCTGGATGCATGAGTCATCCCCAGGAGAAGCTGCTCACTGCAGACACACTCAGGTCTGCCACTGTCTCAGACACAAGATGATGCTCCAGACCATGGCTGCATAAAAATTGGCACTGTTGCCCATGAGCAGCCTTGGCCCACGGCCCAGTGCCCTTCAGACCTGTTATGCCCAAGCTCAAACCCACCTTCCCTCTCTCCTTTCCTGTCTCAGAATTATTTCCGGGACACCTGGAACATCTTTGACTTCATCACCGTCATTGGCAGCATTACAGAGATCATCCTGACAGACACCAAGGTGAAGCAGGGGCTGGGAGAAGTGGGGTGAACCGCTGTAGGGTGGGGGGCTCCCACCTCTCTCTGACCCTCTCCTCTCCTCCCAGCTGGTGAACACCAGCAGCTTCAACATGAGCTTCCTGAAGCTCTTCCGGGCTGCTCGGCTCATCAAGCTGCTGCGCCAGGGTTACACCATCCGCATCCTGCTCTGGACGTTCGTGCAGTCCTTCAAGGTAAGTCACGTGTGCCCTGGTCTCCCCCGGCTCATGGTGCTGGGGTGCTGCTCCCAAATTCAGGCTGCTCACAAGGTCTTGCTGACTTGCTGGCTTGTAGGAGAGATGGATCGGCACAGTCTACCCACTCGTTGTGCTTTTTGTCCTCCTCTGGAGCTGGACCTGTGCTGAATGAGATGACTCATGTGCTTCTCTTGCAGGCCCTCCCCTATGTCTGCCTCTTGATCGCCATGCTTTTCTTCATCTACGCAATCATTGGGATGCAGGTGAGCACAGACCTCTCGGTGCACATTCCTCTGGCGTGGACAGGCTGGATGAGCATGTCCTCAGCATTATGCACAGCAGCCAGCCTTGTGCCTGCCTGTCGTTGCTTCACTTGGTCACGGTGTCTGAGAAGGTCCTGAGGGTGGAACACCTTGTATGGGAGCTGCAGACCCGCATGCCCTGGAGGACCTGTCACAGGCTAGTTTGGTCAAGCTCCACAGCTGCCTTCCCTACTTGTACCCATGGAGATGTGGGCCCTGGGGACTCAGCTGGGCATCCGGTGTGTCAGCTGCTTTCAAATCGCCACCCCTTTGTTTCATAGGCACTTCAATTTTAGAAATGACACCCCATCTTCAACTCCCTAGCAGCCCCCAGAGATTGCTTTCACGCTTAATGGACCTGGCAAGCAGCCTTCTGCCTTTCCCATCCAAACAGCTGGGTCACAGTGGTGATCCCTGCAGCCCGCCGTCCAACTTGTCCCTCCGCAAAGGGGTGGTCTGATGGTCTGCTTGGGCTCTCGTGCTTAGGAACCTGCAATGACCGACCAGAAGGTGGGAGGTCTGCAGAGCATGGGAAGATGTGAGCTCTTCGGGCTCCAGCTGGTAGATAAGAAGCATGTGAGATAAAACCCTCAGCGGCACACGTGCTGCGGGGCTGGCTCGGTTCTGCAGTGACTAAATCCCACGCTGAGGATCTGAGAAAGCATCTTCGACGGGGAGCGCTCGGGATCTGGAGCCGCTCCACAAGCGAGCCACCGCAGTACCCCACGCTGTTGCCCGATGTGCGCTGCCAGGACGGGCAGATTTTTGGGAGGCAGTGGGCAGCGTGGTGGCCCCCAGCTCGGGCTGCTTGGCAGCACTGGTGTTTAGTCTCTTCCACCCCCTTTCTCCCACCCTGAGAGTCGCGTGGCTGCTTTCAGCTGCTCTGTCCTACACATCTCAGCACCGGCTCCAGGTGTTCTCCTTGCTAAACAACCACCATCTGACTCAGTCCCCCTCCCTGCTGTGTGGTAGTATTTGATTTTTATTTTTTTTTTAACACCATTGTGAACAAATCCCCAAGCAGTAAAGTCTGTGGGCGTTATTTGAGCAAAATAGCTGGAGGCAGAAAATATTCTATAATTACACATTCCAAAAAACCTGTACAGGGAAAAAAATACTCCGCAGTTAGTGTATTTTTAGGTTCAAGGAAAGCGGAATAAATATTTAACCAGTAATAACAGCACATTTTTCCTATTTGAGGCACTTTACGAACATTCGTTCTGTCCTACCATGGCCTTGGCTGTGGGTCTTTATTAGGATATTGTCCATGCGTGGGGCTTCATTGCCTCTTTTGGCCCTGGGGATGGTAGTCCCCAGTGTCTGACTGTCTGTGGTGGGTCAACAGTCTGTCCCTCCCTCACTGAGCCTTTCCCCACCCTGTTTGCACAGCTCTGCCCAGCCCCGGCATCACGAGCCAGTTCCACACCAAAGCAAAGGGTTTTGGGAGGTTCCAGGACCAGGATCCAGCACCCCTCGTCCCCGCACCTCCAGCACGCTCGGGACTGCCGGCTGCCAGTGCGGTGCTTGGATGCTGCCCGTAGCACAACAGAGGGACGGATGCAAAGCAGTTGAACTCGGTTGATCTCAGGTCCTTCATGCTTCTGTTTCCATGGCAGCTCGGCCTCTCGCAGCCTTTGCCGCCCACCACAGATCCCTGCTGAGGAGAGGAGAGGAGAGTTGCCTTCCCCGACGTCTGCTCGGTGCCAGCTCCTCGGTGTGCTGGATGTGCACTGGCAGGCGTTTGCTGGGGTGCTTTTCCATGGGGGATTGCACAGAGAGGGTGGATGTTGACTGCTTTGGGGGCCAGCTGTGCTATGATGATGGACTTGGGGCAGGATTGGTCCCTGCAGAGGAGGAGAATGTGCAGCTGCTTCCCTAGGTGCCAAGCTCTTGCTGGAGTAACTGAGCCCTTTTTCTCTCTCCTGTAGGTTTTTGGCAATATCAAACTAGATGAGGAAAGCCACATTAACAGGCACAACAACTTCCGTAGCTTCCTGGGCTCCCTCATGCTCCTCTTCAGGTGAGCAACCATAGAAAGCTCTTTTGACAGCATTTCTGGGAGCAGGCGTGCCAGGAGCTGGGCTGGGCAGGTTCTCACTGTTTGGTGGACATCAGCTTTTGGTGCTAGAGAGCAGCTGGGCAAACACACAGCCACGGGAGCTCAGGAACTCCTTTTTTCCCCCCGCCTACTCTGCCCCCAGAAAAGGATGTCTGTCTCCCAGCTGTTTGGACCAGCTGGCCGGGGGCAGTTGGCCCCACGTGCCAGGAGCTACACCCTGGCACGGCTGCACTTGTGTGGGTCCAGCTCGGTTGCTGCTGACCCAGTGCCTTGCTCCTCTGCGTGCTGGAAATGTGCTTAATTCTGGCAGTGGGTTGCACAGCTTATTGTGAGGCTTCTCCTGGGGGGGGGGACATCCTGCCCCGGCTCCATCCCGTGCCACCACGAGCTGCTGAGCACGGCTGTGTTGGACGCAGGAGTGCCACAGGAGAGGCATGGCAGGAGATCATGCTGTCCTGCCTGGAGGGCAAAGGCTGTGAGCCAGACACAACGGCGACGTCCGGGCAGAACGAGAATGAGCGCTGCGGCACCGACCTGGCCTACGTTTACTTTGTCTCTTTCATCTTCTTCTGCTCTTTCCTGGTAAGTTCTTCCTCCCTGAGAGCCTTGGGGTCCCTCTCATCAGCCCCCCAGCCTGCCCTCCTGCCACAGGGTCATCTCTGCTCCCTCTCCCCCTACTTTCCTTTCTCTCTGCCTTTTTCCCTTTCACTTAGATGCTCAACCTGTTCGTGGCAGTCATCATGGACAATTTTGAATACCTGACTCGGGATTCCTCCATCCTGGGACCTCACCATCTAGATGAGTTTGTCCGGATCTGGGCAGAGTATGACAGAGCAGCGTGGTATGTAGCCAGCTCCTTCTCTCTCAAGCAGCCTCTCAGAGATGGTTTTAAACAGACGTCTCTGTGTTTGGCTATTGGAAACCAGCTGCGATGCCTGGGATAGTCAGGGAAGGGCTGCTCTTGCCCGGGGTGTTACAAGGGCAGCAGCCAGTTCCTACAGTGCCTGGTGGCACAGGCGTCCTTGGTGATGTTCATGGTTTGACATGGTGTTTCTCCTGAGTGCTGGAGGTTCCTGCTCTTCCTCTCCTCCCCAGCCAGCGGGCAGGTCCCTCTCAGCCTATTTCCCTGTCCCCATGCACCAGCTGGGTGCCTCTGCCCTAAGACCAGCTCCATCGTCAGGTCCCCATCACCCACAGTTCCCCATCGGAGCAGCGCTGCACGTGTCTCCGTGGGGAGATGCTGGGGGTCCGCTGGGCTCCTGGCAAGTCGCCTGTGGAAGGCCTTGTTTCAGGTGTGTTTGATGGGCTTGGGGAACTGTGTTCTTACGCTGGCCAGCCTGCTCACCCCTCTAGAGGCAAGAGGACTTTGTTTCCTGCACTCATCTCTTTGCTGGCGAGGACCGCAGCAAACTGGGTTCCCGTTTGCAGCCAGCAGCCCATTCCCAGCAACAGGACGAGTCCGCAGCAGCCATACATACTCTGGGTGGCCGGGCTTTGGTTCTGCTCCTGCTGCAGAGGAGTTGCTCTCCACCGCTCCTCCCAGGGTGGTCTGGAGCATCCCTAGGACAACGTGGAGCCCTTGGCAGCTCTGGGAGCATGTTTGCCCTCCACTCAGCCCCAGCACCATGGGGGTGCCTTTTGTGGCCCCTTCCTCACTCCTGCAGCCCAGGGGCAGCCTCTTTGGAGTCAGAATCCACCACTGCTGTGCTGCGGACTGTGGGCGATCTTAGCTTGGCAGCCACACACGCTCCCTTTGGAGACTCTTCACCTCCACTGCTAATGTCCTGCCCCTTGCGAGACCTGCTCTAGCCAAGATATTTTTTTATGCCTAATATCATCAGCTCCTGGCATGTTTTCCTCCACCATTTCTGTCCAACCCTGTGCAGCTCAGTGCTGGCCAGGTTCCTCCCCTCGTAGCCTCCTTCAGCACTCTTGCTGCTGTACAAGGCCCCCATGGGCAGGTCAGGTGGGTTTGCTTGTTAACGGGTCAATATGCCTTGTGCAAGGGGGAGAGGTCAGCATGGGTGGTTAGATGTCCTGATAGACAACTAGAGAAGGGAGAGGAGGTGAGAGCAGTGAAACATCCAGCTGCTTGGTGTGGAGTTTCTCACATGTGACTTTTGGGAAGGATTTCCTCACACCAGGCACTTCATTCACTCTTTTCCCGCACGCTGGTGGCCGGGATCTCCAGGACAGTCACTGTAAAAGCATACTTGAGCTGTCCTATCGATGCCATGCACCCCTCTGATTTCTGAGCAAGCTGTGGTCTTTCATCATGATATGTAACCAGTGGTGAGGGGACATGCACAGGAACTGGTGTGGCTGGGCCCACAGGGGCATCCCTGGCCCCTGTTGCTGGGTGAGGAACGGGTGAGTACATCCAAACGGGTCCCAGCACCTGAGTGGAGCAGCAGTTCTGCATCCTGACACAGGGACCATCACACGCAGGTTTCTCAAGGAGACCACTCAACACCATGGGGGCTCAGGGATGGGTTTTGTCTAGATGGTTGGATTAACTCTGGCCAGTGATGGAGAGGGAATGGGACAAGAGCAAGGAGAAACCAGAGGCAAAGGCTCTGGGTAGGACGGTGATGCTGATCTTTGCCTCCTTGTGTGGTTTCCCTCAAAGCTTGTCTAAGGATGCCCAGGAGGCTGCAGCATGCTGCACCTCAGCACTTCCACCCCACATGGTCCTGCTTCCCAAAGGGCTCTGGTCTGGAGCGGAGTGGGGAGCTCAGCATCCGAAGGCCCCTGCACCCTCTCCTGCCAGCTCTCTGCCTCGTGATTTCAACTGGTGCAGGAGGGATACGGGCCGTATCCTGCGATGACTGCACCCAGGTCTGGGGAGATGTTCTTTTGTGGGGGAGAAGGGGTGTGTATATGGGAGGGTTTGCTTCTAATAATGTGTACCCTTGGCAGAGCGTGGTCTGGTGGTCAGAGCACAGGACTGGACCACGAGAGACCTAGGTGCTAGTGCCAAAGCCACCAGTCACCTGCTGGTCACATTATCTCTCCCCGTCTCAGGTTCCCCAGATGTTGGAGATACAAATGACTCAGCTGCCAGCCTCCCTGGGACCAGAGAGCTGGCCAAGTGAAGACAGTCTCTTTGGTGGTGTGATGGGACACAACTCCATCAAAAGGGCTCGTGGTGGCTAGAACCCAACCAAACTGCAGGCTCACCCTCATCTAGAATCCCAGCCCTCTCCCACCAGGTGTAGGTGGCCAAGGACATGACGAGGAAGGGTGATGGGGTGGTGTCCACTGCCAAAACCATCCTTCTCCAGGGTCAGCATGGGTCAATATGAGGAGGTGTGAGCTGACTCATGGTGGAGAAGACAGCAGCTGACGCTCACAGCTTTCCCCTCTCTGGGTCTGACAGAGCCAGAAGGAGATGAGCCGGGCACCCTGGGGTCTTGCCCTGAAGACAGCGCCAGCATCCCCCAGTTAAGCTCTCCACTGTCCTCTCCACCCTCTCAGTGTCCTATTAACCCACCTGTGCTTCCTTTGCAGCGGCAGGATCTCGTATAAGGATATGTACAAATTAGTACGGGTGATCTCGCCTCCTCTGGGCCTAGGAGAGAACTGCCCCTACAGGGTGGCGTGCAAGGTTTGCCTCCCAGTCCTCCGCCACAACCTGGCCACGGGACGCACCATCCACCCCTCCTTCCCCCCTGCTCCACCGCCACCGCACCTCCCGAGGGAACCCTGACGTTGCTTTCCTTCGAGTTTAAAGAGGTCCGCGGCCTCCCAGAGCCAGCAGCTGTCCCCCTCGAGGGGAGGCACGAGTGGGGCCAGGGCGGGCTCAGAGCCTCCTGGGGTGGGTTTCGACAAATTGCATCCCCCAGCCAGTCCCCCGCCCCGGCTCCATTGGCGTAGAGAGTCCCTGAAAGGTGCCGGGCCAAATGCCACCATCCCTGCTTGGCTTCTCAAAGTGCCTTCACACAGGAGGAGGAGTTTTTTTTTTT